ACACTAACATTCCTGCTAATTGATAAGAAAAAAAAAAAAATACAATCTAATAGAAAAATAAGGAAAGCAGAGGAATAGATAATTCACAGAGTAGATCTGTCCAGTAAATATGCTCAGTGGCTCAATATTACTAGCACCAGCAAGTGTAATTATGAAACATCACATCAGTCATCTAGCAAAAGTCAAAAAAATGTTAACATTGATTGCTGGCTGGGATGCAGGAGAAAAGGTGCTCAATGCTGCTGGGGAAAATGAGAATAATCTTTTTGAAAGACAGCCCAGTCATATCTATTAAAAACCCTATATAGCACAGTGCCTAAGGCATCTAACTGCTAACCAGAAAGTTGGTGGTTCAAACCCACCAGGCACTCCACAGGAGCAAGACTGGGCAATCTAGTTCCGTAAAGATTTACTGCCTTGGAAACCCAGTGTGGGTCGCTGTGAGTCGGAATTGACTCAATAGCGGTGGTTTTTTTTGTTTTGTTTTGTTTTATACATAAAGGCACCAATGTGTAAGGATCTGTGTGCACAGATTTTGCTGTGGCATTGCTTGCAGTGGCCAAAAAGAAAATGGAAATAAAGGGAAGGTCAGGCATAATACAGAAATGATCATCCATACCATGGTATATTACACAACATTTACAAATAATTTGTTAGATTTGCCAGAACTAACTTGTACAGATTGTCACAATGTGTAATTGAATGAGAGGCGAGATGTGCAGAAGTATATTATGACACTATAATGACAGCTCCATCCCATAAATGTATGTTGTTGTGGTTGTGTGCCTTAAGTGCTCATAGTGGCCCTATAGCACAAAGAGGAACTACCCCATAGGGTTTCCCAGGCTGTAATCTTTACGGCAGCAGATTGCCAGGTCTTTTCTACTGTGGAACCGCTGGTGGGTTCAAAAGGCTGACCTTTTGGTTAGTAGCCCAGTGATTAACCACTGCGCCACCGGGGCTTCTTCATATATGTTTATCCTGTATATATGCTTGTATATGATTATATGAAGACAGAGAAAGTAATGGAAGTGTACCATTGAATTGTTAACATTGGTTGGGACTGGTGAGATCTCTTAACTCACTGAAGCCACAGTAATCAAAACATGAATGGTAATAATTCAATTTTTAAAAGAGGGTAAACTTTTATGATATAGGTGGAAAAGGCAGATACAAGATTATAGGTAGATTCCACTAACGATTATGTAAATCACTTAAGAGAAAAAAGACTGGCAAGTAATCCAACTAAATAAGCATAATGATTATTTAAGTACTAAATAAAAAAGTGTAGGTGTTTTCTCTATATTTTCCAAACTTTCTTTAATGCAGTTTTGTTGCGTTTGTAATTAAATAGATGAAATTTCTAATTCAGTTTCTATCAATCGTGAACTTTTTATTAGGTCTTGGAATCAATGACCATGTGATATATATGTGAGCTTGATGATACCCTAGCTCTGAAAAACTGTACCTTTTAATTTTACTTATGATATACCCTGGAGATTCTTTTGTTTCTAATTTATTGCTCATTAGATAACCAAATCCCCAGGAATTGTTTTTTTTTAATCTCATGATAATATAACTTTGCATATTTTAAGATTTTTCCCAAAAAATATTAGCAGAAATCACTTCTAACAATAATTTTCAAAGTTGTGTGGCTGGGCCAGATCATGTCACTTCCCCTCTCCAGACCTCAGTTGGTGGTGGTGGGTGCCATTGAGCAGTCTCTGACTCATAGAAACCTCATGAACAACAGAACGAAACATTGCCTGGTCCTGCTCCAGCCTCACAATCCTTGATATATTTGAGCCCATCGTTGCAGCCACTGTGTCAATCCATCTTGTTGAGCGTCTTTCTTTTTTTTGGCTGACCCTCTGATTTACCAAACATGATGTCTGTGGTAGTTAAGTTTGTATGTCAACTTGGCTGGACCTGGTTGAGTGGCTGGGCGGCTGGATGTAGTATTCCTCATGATAAGACTGATAATCAACTCCATGGTGGAATCTACTGTGAGCAGTTGTGTAGCTTCCTTAGGGATATGGTCTGCTTCCTGTACATAAGGAGAAGCATTGAGGAATGGTCTCTAGCATATGGCACGCTTGGATCCTGCATGTAGCTGTGTTGTTGTTCAGCAGCCTGCCATTCTCTGCCGACCTTGGGACTTACAATGGACTTAAATTAATGGCCTGCTGTGTGGTTTGGTAACATCGGGATTGTGCCATTTTATTTGTCGACCTTGGGCTTGTTGGCCTCAGCAGCCAGTAGCTGCCTGAATGAAAAGATGCCTCTAGCTTCAGTGGGCCGGGAGCAAGAGGAAGAGCTTAAGTCCAAGGTCAAGGGACTTTCACCCAGCCCCTAGAGCCTGGCACTTTGAACTCAAGACTTCTAGCCTCCCCAAAGGTAAGAAAATAAACTCCTGTTTGTTAAAGTCATCCCATTTGTGGTATATTCTTGTCAGAGCGGCACTAGGTAACCAGAACAATATCCTTCTCCAGAGAATGATTCCTTCTAAGAACATGGCCAAAGTATGTGAGACAAAGTCTGGCCATTCTTGCTTCCAGAGAGCATTCTGGCTGCTCTACTTCCAAAACAGATTTGTTCGTTCTGGCAGTCCATGTATTTTCAGTATTTTTCACCAATACCACAATTCAAAAGCATCTTCCACTCTTCTTCAGTCTTCCTTATTCATTGTCCACCATTCGTCTGTCAGTTTGTCCAACTGTGATGATTTGCATGTTGTTGTGAGGCTAGAAGCTCTGCCACCAGTATTTCAAATACCAGCAGGGTCACCCATGGTGGACAGGTTTCAGCAGAGCTTCCAGACTAAGACAGACTTGGAAGAAGGATGGAGTCATCCACTTCTGAAAAAATTGGCCATTGAAAACCTTATGAATAGCAGTGAAACACTGATATATTACTGGAAAACTTTATATATCTCAGTACGTCACCTATAAATGAAGAACTTACTCAATTACCTCACTGCCATCGAGTCGGATCCGACTCACAGTGACCCCTCCTTGGGTTTTGGAGGCAGTATCACTACAGAAGTAGATTGCCTAAACTTCCTTCCGAGGAGTGGCTGGTGGGTTTGAGCCACCAGCATTCTGGTTAGCAGTCAAATGCCTGAGGCACTAGGCCACCAGAGCTCCAAATGAAGAAGCTGGATAAAGAAGTTGCATAAAAAAATTTTTTTAGAGACTTTTCAGCTCTAACATTCTCTGATATAATTATATTCACCACAGAATGTACTGGATAGAAAATAATTAAACGATCGCTAAGAAGAAGAAAACTTGCATGTTTAGTAATGCTTATATCAAAAGATTCAGACAGCTAGAGAAGATACCCTAATTGATCTAACTTTTATGCTCATATGAAAACCGTGGAAGATTTCCCAACATTGCGTGGCCTTGACTTTGGGACTTTATTAATACTCTTCGTGTATAATTATATATAATTTCTTCATCTGCGTGCACCCTCCCATCCCTGCCAAGTTATCATTTGGCTCTACACACCTCAGTATATGAACACAATGTTTTAAGTCAGTCTTACTGACTTTATTGAGGTATAATTTACATAAGATAAAATGCACTCAATTAAAATATGCATTGTGATGGGTTTTGAAACATTTATGCATGTGAATGCCATGACCACAATTAAGCAATAGAACATTTCCATCACTCTAAAAAGTTCCCTGTGTGCCTTCCCAGTTAGCTCCCAGCCCCTGATCTAGGCAACTACTGATCTGCATTTTGTCATTATACCTTAGATTTGTCATTTCTAGAGACAAAACAAAGTTTTAACTTGCGTTTTCTCAATCTTAAAGAGTGTTAAAGTATCCTGTTTCAGTCAGTGTTCTTAGTTGCAAGCAACAGAAATAAACTCTGCATGACTTAAGCAGCAAAGGAATTTCTTGAAATGATATGGGCAGCTCCCAGAATCACTGGGAGACTGGAGAACCGAGTTTGGGGTTATGCAGTCAAGAACAATGCCTCAAATCACATAGTACAACTGTTTTAGTGAGGAAAACACCAAAAGCTATAGCTGAACTTCGTAAACTGTGTGTACCAGACAGTGGTCACTGTCATTAAGCTTGCCGCCATTGCTGTCTTAGGCCTGTGTCTATTTCTTTGAAAATAGAAAGTATATCTGGCTTAGGAAATCTTTCTGCAACTGTCAGTGTCAATGGGGATGACTGAGTGGCAGATACTAGGTCATGTTTCCTTTATGCCTTAGCTGCATGGGAGTCTAGGAGAACCTGGGACTTTCAGAATCTATAGTGGGAGGTATAGACTTACAAAGTTGTGACAAAATGGTCAAGATTTACAAAGTGGGAGAATTCTCCAAATATAGCAAAGGGTTAAAATGCTGACTAGCCAAAAAGATGACCAAATGTCCACAGCACCGACTTTTTTTTTTTTTTTTTTTGTCTATTAGACTGCATTATGAATTTGTAGCTTCATGCCTAATGGCTATGACACCCAGACCACATTTGATAAGCATCTCCAGGGTACAAAGGGGTCTACCAGGTACTGAAAATTGGGACAAGGCCATCAAGGAACTTACTGTTCAGTGAAATAGAAACAGATATATTGGCTGTCATATCTGCTCAAGTTTTTTTCTTTTTAAGAAAATTTTACCAATCTGTGGCCTCCTAATAGAATCAGTTGTTGTTGTTGTTGTTGTTATGTGCCGTCGAGTCAAACCCGACTCATAGAATCAGTAGGTCTAAGTTAATTGATTTGACCCAATAGAGAATGTAACATATTAAAAAACTGTATCACTTTAAGTAATGAATTCCATACTTATTCACAAAATGATATTTACTTTAAGTCTTATGCAAAATATGTATTCAATTTAGTATTCTTACTCTTCTAAAATCACACAAATCTTAAGTTGCCTTTAATAGCTATGTTCATTTTAATTTTTTAAGTTTACCCATCAAGTAAGTCCAATTACTTTGCCAACTCTATCTGCTATCCTTTACTCTCAATTTCAATTGACAGGTCCAGGGAAGACGGGGTGGCCTGATCCAGAGACAATGATGATGAAATGTTGAGGAAGAAACTGGGGGAGAGAAGCAACCGGCACCATGGAAAAAACCAAAACAAAGCCAGGTTAGATTTTTCTGTGTCTTGCCTTAGGGTTCAGGATCCAGGAACTATAGGATTTAGAAGTGTAGGTCTTACCACTGTCTCAAAACATGACAATATGTTAACTTGACTATTTTCATTTCGCTGTCATCGTAAGACAACCATGAAGAGCACAGACTTGGTGCTGGAGAAATAGGGAATGCTATCTGTGTAATTGGGAGCTCTGGTAGCGTAGTGCCTAAGGCATTTGACTGCTAACCAGAAGGCTGATGGTTCAAATCCACCAGCCACTCCTCCGAAGGAAGGTTGGGCAATCTACTTCCGTAGTGATACAGCCTCGCAAACCCGAGGAGAAGTCTCTATGAGTCGGATCCGACTCGACGGCAGTGAGTTTGCTTTGGTTTGGTATCTATGTAACTTGTTCTGAGTAGTTACCTTATTTTTCTTTTAGGACTGTCTCATACAATCTAAGATTTAGATTCAGATTCAACTAATAGACATCAAGCATCTTTCTAGGCTAGTTTATCTCATAAGTGCTTTCTCCTTTAATCTTTTTAGCAACCATATCTGCGTAGATCCTATCATTTCCATTTTACAGGTGAAGAAACAGTCATAGAGAAGTCAAGCCACAGCTATGAAGTGGCAAATTTAGATCTGGGAACTTGGTCTCTCTTCCCACATCCTGGCTTTTTCTGTTACACCAAAGTACTAGGGCATAGTATTAAATGGGTTAAATAATCTTAAACTGTGCAAAGAGTTTTGGTGATCTCAAACCATCCAGATTTTATAGGGACAGCCCTCTGTGTGTGTCAGTGCTGGACTGAGGTTATATATTATATATGAACTTAATATAGTGAGGCTGATTCCTCTTATAAGGGGTTTTTTGTACCAGCATGCCTTAGGAGAAGAGCATATACAACCCATACAGGTAAATGTTTGCAATCAGAGTTTTCAGCTATACACTGCTTGACTGCACACAATGTGACACATGGAGATGTAGTTAAATAGATGAGCAACAAGTTGAGTGTTTAAAATGGGTTTCCTTATCTTCATGGCCAACCAATGTGGTTCTGAAAGGTGAATTCTAGACCAACTTTTGTTCTCTCTAGATAGTGAATAGGACCTCTGATGGCATAGTGCCTAAGGCAAACCAGAAAGGTGAGGTTCAAACCCACCAGCCACTCCTAGAAGGAAGGTTGGGCAGTCTACTTCCGTAGTGATACTGCCTCAGAAACCCAAGGAGGGGTGGCTATGAGTCAGATAGGACTCCACGGCAGAGAGTTTGGTTTTTAGGTAGTGAAGGCTATCTCCCAGTCTTCACGGTTGCCAGTACTGCGCCATTCTCAGAACCTTCCCACTAGCAATTCCCTTCTGCGTGCCTCTTGCCTGGGAGAACAGCAAGATTCCCTTAGCTGATCTTGGCAGTAACAGGAGGGCAGAGTTCAGAAGTTTGAAAAGGATCAGAGGTAGGAACAGTAAGGAAATTTTATGCAGGCCTCCTGAGAACAATAGGGTGACACCTGGACAGCTTTTCTGACTCTAGAATTTTCCCTTCAAATAAACTGCAGTAAGCCTCAAGTACATGAGAGAAGTGCTCAGGGCTATTTAATGATATCAACCATTATTCAGTTTGGTCGAGAAACTTCCCCGCTGTGGTAGAACATGGTTTTCTACTATAAGAGTTATATCAGGCAAATATGGTTTGATCATTAAGATGTGAATATAAAAACCACCTATATTGTCTTTGTTTATTTTTTGTTCTTCTTGAATCATCTGTTTCCTGCCGTGCAAACACAGATACTACAGGTCCTTTGTTTTCTGTATATATCTGAAGAAGATATGGACAGATTGAGTCATGTTGATTGAACAAAGCTCTTTCTCTCTACAGGAGAGAATGAACATATGCCAATGAATAATCCTGCCACACAAATTTACCAGGTAAAGACAAATAGACTGTTTTGAATGCTTTCATGTATAATAACCATAATTGTCCTTTATGTGTAGAGTTGCTTATAGCTCACAAGTGTTTCCATATATGTCAGTGCCATTGTTCTCTTATTAAGACTGTGAGGTAGGCAGAGCAGTGAGCACCATGCACCTTGTCCTTTTGAGAAAAATGATTATTGAAGAACAAGTTATCCAATTTATAAAGTGCAACTTTCCCACTTCAAACTTTGCTTTTCTTGCCTGCTACCACCATTATTATGGCCATTACATTGCACAATAAAATTCTTATCAGAGAGGAGAATGCAAGACTAGCTGTTCCTATTTTACCAGGGAGAACTGAGAATTGCAAGGGGGTTAACATAGAAAATATTCAAATATGGTGATAGAAAAAATGTTAAAAGCATCTTATAAACAACGAGACTAATTTAATGTGCAAGGAATATAAAAGTTCTGCCAGACATCCTATCTTTGCTATAAAAGTCACTTCTGGCTGCTTTGGCTCTCAAAATAGTACTTACTTGGCTTTTAGCTTTCCCACTGTAAATTTAAAGTAAATATCTGCCCTTAAAAATTATGGAAGTTTACTCTGACGTAATTGGTAATGTGAAAGTAGCTTGGGCTAGGGAAACTCATGCTCCTATCTGGAGTCAAGGCTGTGCCATCTGGATAAATGAGGAGAAAGAAAGAATTTATAAGGCTTGGTGGAGGTTGAGAGAAAAGGTGATTTCAAAGTTGTCTCAATAACTCAAAAAGAGAAAGGTATTATGAATGGAAATACAGGAATCCAGAGGAGCAGACAGTATGGGGGAAATGTTGTTTAGGCCTGCTTAGTTTAAGTGACAATCAAGAGAAAATAACAGTTCCCAGAAAGATCCATGTAAGAGATTATAGCTGTGGGCCCAAGTAGGGCATGACAGCTCAGGACTCTGAAAGCTTTTTTAACCATATTGATTCTGGACTCAGACCAGCAATGGGAGGAATGAGGGAAGCAGCCATTTCAATTGACTATGTATTTATTAAGCTACTACTATCTGGTAGCATAGTGCCTAAGACACTTGACTGCTAACCAGAAGGCTGGCGGTTCAAACCTACCAGCCACTCCTCAGAAGGAAGATGGGACAATCTACTTCCATAGGGATACTGCCTCGGAAACCCAAAGAGGGGTCGCTATGAGTCGGGTCTGACTCAACGGCACATAATAACAATAACAACATGTACAAGGTCTACTACTTAGCCTAATGGGAGATGAAACAGACATAGACATTCTCATTGATTTTTACATGTCCACAAACTGGAAAACACATACAATAAATAGCTCATACAAGGTAGACTGTTGAAAAGAATTACAATAAGGGCACTGATAAAATTCTATGAGATATGAGGGAATGGGAAGAATTAATATTGAATGGAGGATTTGAATCAGGCATTTAAGGGCAAGTTGGATATTTGGTAAGTGGATATAGGGGAAGGATACTTCAGACAGAGTGACCAGCTTGAACGAAGTTCTGGGAGCAGGATTGAGTCTTTGCTTAGTGCTGATTGGATGCCTCCCTTATCCAAGACCTCCTAATGCCTGCCCTAATCACCTCTCCTGTTCATGTCTGATCTATGTATGACATTTGATGACTATGAGTACATCTTTAAACTCAGGTATGATTTAAAATCTATTAAAGATTTTATGTAGGTCATTGCCTGAATGTTGGCTAAATATAGCTGCAAGAAGGTGGCCTCATTATTTTATTATATCACAAATCCAAATACATCCATTCACAGTGGAACAAAGGAAGCAGTGGGAATGAAGTGGGTCTGTACGACCTCTGTGATACTATGAACATAACCCATCCCTGTTTTACAAGAATGCTTCCTAAGCCCTAGTGTGTTTACTCCAAGCAACATCTAACCAAATGAAGAAAGAGAAGAAATAAAGAAAGAAGAGGAAGAAGGAAGAGGGAAATGTGGAGGGGTTAACTATAATAGGTATAATCTATACTAGAAGAGAAAGTATCTGAAGCAAAATTTGAAATTTCAGTCATTGTCTATCTTTTTATTTATTTTCTTGAAAGAACTCATTATCTGACATTATAGTATATATTAGCTTGTTTATTTTCTTATTGTCTGTCTTCTCCACTAGAATGTAAGCTCCAAGGGCAGGGATATAATTCATTTTGCTCTCTGTTGTACTCTCAGCAGAAAGTATAGTGCCTGGCATACACTGCATATTCAATAAGTATTAATGGAATAAATGAATATCTGAAAAAGATGTGTATACTGCTTTGAGCAAAGAAGTTTATGGAGTCATTCAGTCTGGTGCCAAAAGGTGTTGGGAAAATTGTCTGGTTTTTCTTTTTTGCAGGGGATGCAAGGGGGAGAACAGATTTTTACTAGTCAAAATAAAATGCCAAATGGATTAAACATAAAATGTAAAATATAAAAAAAGTCAAAACCATAAAAGTTTAAAATAAGTGAGGTCTACTTATTTATTGGGAGCTCTGGTAGCATAGTGGCTAAGGCACTTGACTGCTAACCAGAAGACTGGCGGTTCAAACCCACCAGCCACTCCTCAGAAGGAAGATGGGGCAATCTACTTCCGTAGTGATACTGCCTCGGAAACCCAAGGAGGGATCACTATGAGTGGGGTCCAACTTGATGGCACATAGCAACAACAATTTATTTATTTATTTATTTCCATTTTTGGATGTGATTTTTTCTAAGTAAAAGGGCAGTGAAATAAGTCACAAAGGAAAGGGTTAGCTGTACCATTTCTCAGTTCATTCCAGGTAGAATTACCACCAAAACAGATGAATCATCGTGGATACACCAACTACATTTAGGTTTGCAGGCTCAGCAGATTCCCTTTTATTTGAACCCAAGCCTAATCCCTTATTCTCTCATCTGTTCATGGCACACACCTCTCATAGTCCACTTTAAAGTCTTTTTCAAAGTCAAGTTGTGTTGCTTCAGCCTTGATTACTTATGTTTAAATATTGTGATTCTGTTAATATGAGGAGGGAGTTCCACAACTATGGCAACAGATGTGGTTTAGTCCCAAGGCTACCCTCACACTAATGATCTGAGCTCCAACTGTGCTTTTGGCTCACTAGTGATCTTAAGAATGTAAACCCTGCAGCTTCCTATACTTTTATTACTTATGTTTTCTATTTCTTATTTCCAAAGATATAAAAATGACCAGATTCACTGGTCTGATAGTGACTAGTGGAATCCCCAAAACCATGGCCCTTAGATACCCTTCAAACCTGTTACTGAACATTCCCAGGGATCAACCTGTAGGCAAACAATAGACAGGCCTATAAAGTGAATAATAACACCAGGGAGGAATGTACTGCTCAGTCAATCAATCACATGAGACCAAAAGAGCAGAGTTTGCCCTCCCAAAAATCTCAGAAAGCAGGAAGGGGCAAGAAAGAAGGATGGATGCAAACGGGAAACAGGGAACCCAGGGAGGAAAGGGGAATGTGCCGTTACCCTTTGCAACCAATGTCATGAAAAAAAAAGTGTATAAATTATTGAATCGAAAACTAATTTGCTCTGTAGACTTTCACCCAAACTACAATAAAAAGAAAAAGACGTTTTTCTTAGTCTGCTAAAGTAGAACATTACATATCATATAAAATATTTCCAAAATTATATCACTATACTATCATAACTTTCAAACCCTCTGGTCAAAAAACATTTTGTATATTTATTAATTGAATATATTGCTTCCATTCAATATAGTAGGTTTCCCTTTGGATCAATACTACCTAACTCCCTCTGACTTAGTAATTTCATGTTTGGGAATTTGACTTAAGGAACTATTCTAAAATACATACAAATTCTAAGTAAAAAGCATTCTATCACAGCAGTATTTGTAATATTGAAAAATTATAAGCAATATGTTTCCCAAAGAAAGTAAACTGTTAGGTAAATTCTGGCACATTCATAGGATAAAGTATTACCTAACCATTAAAAACACATATTTAAAATCATTTTGAAGGGTATTGGAAAGGATTTATGAGAATGTTAGGGAAAAAGGTGGGGTCAGAATCAAAATGTATCTGTAGTGTGATTTCAACCAGACGTACAGAACAAAATAGAAGGAAATACACTAGAATGTTAATGGTTATGTTGAAGTAATTTAAGGTGATTCTCTTTTTTTCTTCTTTCTTTTTCTCTGTAATGAAAATAATTTTCAAAAGTAATTGCTTTGTAAACTTTCACCCAAATCACAATAAATATTTTTTTAAAAAAAGTAAATCATGTGCCAAAAAATTTTCTAATTAAAAAACAATGGGAACCAGACCTACAGTAACAGGTTTCATCATCAAAACTGCCATTGAAAGTTTTCTAATATTTATAAGCCCTGTTTCAGTCTCACTCACCTTTTGCCATTCATGAATGTCCTAACACCAGAGAAATGAACTCTCCCAGGCTGGGGTGCATCAAGAGACTGATAAGATAAATTTCCATCATGCCAAGCCTAACATCAGCTTTGCTAGGGCCTTGTAAGAATGCCAACTTCTATAGGAGGTATTTGGGAAATTCATACTTGCCTGGTTAAATTAGTTGCTGCACACTTGTGTTTCAAATCATTACATTTCTGGGGATAAATGGAGACACCTAAAATTAGGAAGCTAGAAGCTGGCAGAAGGACCATGTTTCTTCTGCAGTGACCATGATTTGGGGAAAATCAAAGTAATTATCTCAGCATCCTTGCCATCATGTTCTATTTCAAAGCATCTGGGCTTTTGCTCTCATGGATGCTTTAGTCAACTGTTATGGGAATTTGGCCTGCCTTGTGGAGTTTCCAAACCTTGATGTTTATGACTTTGCAGAATTCCTAAACCACAGACCTAGTCTCCTGCCTCATATTAGCCTCCTAACATTGGTAGTGGGAAATAAAGGAAGGGAAACTTTGCATTAAAAGCAAGTTGGAACATATGAAAACTTAGTTTGAGACTTGATAGATCTTTGGTGAAAAAAAAAAAAATTGGAAGACATTGACTAAAATTCATCTTAAGAAGAGTTGAGAAGCCAAGAGAGCAAAGAAAATTGAGAAACAAATTAAGAGCAGGAAATAGGAAGAATTCGGACTCCTCTCCCCTATTTCTTTGAGCCTAAGATGCCCTCTGTGGTACCCTAGGCTTCGAAGTACAAGTCTTCCCTGAATCTACCTCCAGTGGGAGCCCGCCTCCAGCGGCAGGATGGAGGAATCATAACCTCTCTAGAGCAGCTTCATGAAAAAATCAACGAGATGAGGAACGTGTTCAACTCGCTGGAGAACAAGGTAGACACCCATTTCTAATCCTTTGGGTGGGCTGTGGGCTGTCAAATAAGAAAGCTGAGGAGAGTGTATAGAAGAGATGTTAAGATCATATCTTCAGAGTATTTTTATTCACAAGGGAGTGGCCAGGTTGGTTTTGGAAAGCAGTCTGTAGCCACTAAAGATATTAAGAGACCAAGCATCTTATAAGCAACCTATTGTTTCGGATGTGTGATTGTGCTCATGATGGCTCCCCCTCCCTGGCTGGTCAGTGGTGGTGAGGCAGTTTATAAAGCAATAATGTTATTTCAGTGGCAAGTACCCAAGAGGCTCAAACTAATACTCGAGAAGGAAAAGGCTCATAGCTCAAAATGATTTCAGAATTCTCAGAGTCGCTTTGTTAACTTGGCTGTTAGAGAAAAACATCAATACTTCTTAATTTTGAGAGTTGAGGTTCTACAAGTGAGAAAAAGTCCTCTCCCCTAGGACTCTGCTGCTGGCATTTAGCTCCTTGGTTAAACTCCACACATCCACCTAAGGAGCAGTGATAATGAAACCTATTTCTGTCGGACAGTGGTTCCCTTTCTTTTTCCCAGCAATTGAAAGTGGGCCTTTGAGCTCCTAAGTGAAGGTCAGGATTTCCTTCCTTCAATTTTCAAGCTTGCATATGTTTTGTTTAGACATAATATAGCCATAAATTTATTTATTTTGTTCACAGAAGAAGAATTTACATACTGAACATTACCACCAGATCAGAAAGTAGTTGATGTGGTGATAGTCCATCATGACTGAATCAGGACAAGTGTTGAAATCCACCACTAACATGAATTAAAAATAAAAATGATTGGAATGAAAAACAGATTGCTCATGTTGTTTCCTAGTCCCTGCTATTTTCCTCTGTTTTCTAGCCCCAAACACTTGACAGGTTCTGCTGGAATGATCTCTTTGTTTCCTCTTATTTCTCCCTAACCCCAGCCCTAGAGAGAAATCACTTGTAAAGCATAGTGAACCACAAAACCCAATCATATATATGTATGTATGTATGTATGTAGGAGGCTAAGTAATTTTCAGTGGAAGGGGCCATTGCAATTTGGGACTATTCAGATGACCAGATTCAGACAATGTTTAGAAATACGCATTTGAAGTAATGTTGTTAATAACATTAGTTTCCATTCCTTTCAAACAAGGATACTTCGTGAATATTTTCAATTAGAGAGAAACTTTCTAAAAAGTTCTGTTGTAAAAGAGATCTGGAGCTAAGAGTTCTCTACTTAGTAGGGTATACAACAAATGTCAGGAAAGATTCGTGTTATTATTACCTTATTGTTATTATTATCTTATTGTCTTGAAAATGCTCTTTTCATTTGCTCAATAAATAAAACTGAACTTCAGAAGTGCTCCATTTTTTCCACATTTCAAGTTGTGCTTAATTTTTTTATTTGCCATTTAAGTGGAGAGAAAAATGAAATTTCTTTGACAATTTTCATGTATCAAACTTGTGCTGTGCCAGCAGGCACTTTACTTAACATTTACTCATTTAATTCCCATGACAGCCCTGTGAAATAGGTATTATTCTAGTTATTTCATGTATCAGAAAACTGCTACAAAGAGGTTAACTAACTTGCCTAAAGTCATAATACTTGTAGGAGAGATTAGGGTTTGAACCTTGGTTTGTCTGACTCCAAAATCAACGCCCCTTCATGGTGTGGAAGTTGACCGTTATAGCTAGCTATTACTCTTTTTCATCCATTTCTGAAGGGAAAAAGAACTGAATTTCTCTGTCCTCTCATAATACCCAGCAAGAATATGACCCATCCCTTCTTCTTTCACAGAATCGAAGAGTTCCCAGATCAAAATGGTCTTACACATGCATATGTTGCTTTTCAAGGAAATCTCATTGTAATCAAAGGTTTTAGATTAAATAGTAGTTTGCAGAAACGCTTGTAAACTTAATTGCTTTCTTTCTTGTCCTTATCAGGCTTCAATATGTGTTGTATCAATGGGGTCAGGTTTGTCTCAAGCATTCAAATTTTAGTATACAATTAAATAAAGTCTGTAGATTTTCAAGAGCCTGGTTTCTCAAACAAAAGTGGCCAATAGTGGCTTTTATAATAATTGATAGCAAAGTGAATTTCCTCGTCCTGTATTATTTAGTTGCAGGCTCTGGCCTCTGAACTGAAAACTGGTTTCACGGAAGCAATGCAGGAACTGACAAGAATTCAACATGGAGAATATGCTTTGGAAGAAAAGGTTAAGAGCTGCAAGTGCTCCATGGAAGAAAAAGTTACTGAGATGAAGAATTCATTAAACTATTTCAAGGTAGCTCCTTTTTCTATTTCCCTGCTGAAAACAGATTTTGATCTTAGTAACACAAGCAAGTAGAAAACTTGCCTTTTCCTATAGGAGCCAAATGTAAGAAATTTCCCCTCTGGCTATTCACCAGTTTAAAAAAAAAAAAAAAAAAAAAAACTTATTTCATGTTTGTTTTTTTTTCTTTTTTGGAGCTATGTGTTCAAATTACAGGCCATAATAGACGTTATCTTTCTCATTCATCCAGTCATTTGTTCATTCAATAAGTATGTATTAAAAGCCACTGAGTACCAGATATATTACGTGTTTTACTATGTACTGGTTTAAATACACATCTCTTCATATTTTTTAGGAAGAACTGAGCAATGCAATGTCAATGATTCAGGCCATCACTTCAAAACAAGAAGAAATGCAGCAGAAAATTGAACAGCTTCAACAGGAGAAGCGAAGAGAATCTCGAAAAGTTAAAGCCAAGTGAGTGCCTTACAAAAAAATTCACAGGCAAAGACTTATGCTGGGGAGCTCTGGTGGCGTAGTGTCTAAGGTATATGACTACTAACCAGAAGGCTGGCAGTTCAAACCCACCAGCCACTCCTCGAAAGGAAGGTTGGGCAATCTATTTCTGTAGTGATACCACCTCAGAAACCCAAGGAGGGGTCGCTATGAGTTGGGTCCGACTCCATGGCAGTGTGTTTGGTTTTTTTTTTTTTGGCTCATGCCGAGGGCATTGAGAACACCTTTCCCCTACTAGAATATATCTGGCTCCACAGGGTCAGCTGACAGAGGTATAGATCCATAAAAATACTAAAAACAGATGGCAATAATGTATTGGTCAAATAATTTAATAATTAATGTAAAATAAAAATGATATAAAATGATACTTTGTTAAAAACTCAAACCAAACTCACTGCCATCAAATAGATTCTGACTCATAGCAACGCCCTTTGGGTTTCCGAGGTGGTAAATCTTTACAGAAATAGATTGCCCAGCCTTCCTTCCATGGAGTGGCTGGTGAGTTTGAGCTTCCAGCCTTCTGGTTAACGGTCAGATGCCTTCAGTACTACACTACCAGAGCTCCTTTGATACTCCTTTGATACTTTGATTACAAACATATGTAAAAAACATATAAAATAACAACTAGAAAGATATATTTTTAAATAATGGTTGTTGTAGCAAGACAGTGGGACCACTAGTGAATTGTTTAAAATTTGTTTTCTAAAATTTTTCTAATGCTACTATTATTTTTCTTCTCTAATGAGAAACAGATTTCTGTTAAACAATGTCCCAACCAAATTGAATCAATAGAGTATCACTATAAAAAGACACAGTCTTTATTAGGTTTTTAATATTATCAAATTTAGAATCAATATATGGGCATCATATTTCTGTGGCCCTGAGGAATGAGTTATAGTTTTAAGTTGAAGACTTGCTGCTTCTTGGTGCTTTCAGTTGCTTTATTGAATGTAAATCATCGCAAGCAAATTGTCACCCCTGCAACTTCTATAAAGGTGTTGATAATAGAGAAGTTAGCAACAGAAAAATAAGAATGTAGATATTATAATTAGAGAGTAATTTCTGGATATTGAAGGTTGTTTCCTTCAGAATAGGTGATGAATTATGTTGAGCCTTATAAATTGCTTGCATTTGATCATTTTATATGTACCCAAACAACTATTTCATAGAAATTTCTCTTTAGTTGTTCTGAACTGAATCTTCTCCTAATCCATAAGGTTTTAAGACCTTCACTGGCCTTGTCTTTGCTTCCCTCCTCTAGGAAAACTCAAAAAGAAGAACATGTGTCACCGGCTGGGCCTGTGCAAACGCAAGGCAGTCCTTTCCGCTCAATCAATATCCCTGAGCCTGTTCTTCCAAGTGAAGACTTCACAAACCTTTTGCCCTCTCAGGCCTATGAAAAAGGTATAGTTCACAAATCACACTGAGTTAGCCAAGCATTTTTTACCTCAATTCCTAAAACTTAGTAAGAATGGGCTCAAATCCTGTACCCCTTATGAAAGGAAAATGAGTTGCTCAGATTTTTCCTCTTGTAACTCGAATTTAGAAGCATTCAGAGGATCTAAGAAACCAGGACAGTCTACAATTTTTTACATTTTCTTTTTTGGGGACTTCTTTTTTGGGTACTTCTAAATGTCAAGTGGATTAACAATAATGTATTGCACAACAAATACCATACCAACCATAGGGGGAAAATGTTAAAAATTATTCACTCCAATAACATTCCTTCTTGATCTGTGTCCCTCTGAATACACATTTTTAAAATAGCTGGATTCTTAGCTTAGTTAAATTATATGTTCTGTTTCTTTTTTTTTTTCCAACCCTAATTGTCAAGTGGGAGCTCTGGTAGCATAGTGTCTAAGGCACTTAACTGCTAACCAGAAGACTAGCGGTTCAAATCCACCAGCCACTCCTTGGAAGGAAGGTTGGGCAATCTACTTCCATAGTGACACTGCCTTGGAAACCCAAGGAAGGACCACTATGAGTCAGTTCTGACTCGACAGCACATAACAACAACAACAATTGTCAAGCAGTAGTCTCATTGGCAGGCTAACTCTGTACCCTTTTTGCTCTGGAAAACCAGAGCTGCTGCTGTCTGTGGGCTGAAACATTCGTTAGCCACATCCCTACTCTGAGAAAACAGATGTTATAAAATGGCCCACTGGCCGTGAGCAAGAAACTGACTTTCCAAGGAATGTCAACACAGTATTAAAAAAGAAAAAATTCTGCTATATCTTTATATCCTTGGCAATATCTAGCAAACCACCTCGTACACAGGGGGATAAATGTAGCTATTAAATTGATTAGGTGAATTTTCCTTTTTTATATTGGTCTCACATGGAAAATCTCCAAAAGATAGGCTCAAAGATGCTTCAACCAGTTGTAAACTTCTCAAGGGTAGGCTTGGTGGTTTTCTATCTTTATAGCTTATGGAACAATATGATTTATATATTCATAAATAATGTTTTTAATAACTGCATATAAAATCTAAATCAAGTGACTTTTAATTGTTATAACTTCAGAGTACATATTTACTCTTTATTTTTAGTTTTTTTTTACCCAGTTGAGTAAGTATTTTAAAGGCTGATAGGCACAGCTGAGTAAAGCTCCCTGGATCCATTTGGGGAATGGGTTTACTGCAGCCAGCTATGTTTTCTGTGCTCCGTGACATGATGAGCGAGACAGGGAAGAAGGACCTTGTTGGAGAAGAGGACAGAATAGGCTTAGAAAGTGGAGTCAGATCAAGGCCAGTTCTGGAACAGCTGAACATAACCTAAAAGACTAAAAACTACAGTATTTGCAAAGCATATTATTACATTTATTGCTGTGGGAATGTTTGCATCTTTAGACAATGTATAATAAACAGCCCTCAGGGAGAATAATCACAGGATTTGTTGAATCCACTACAGACACTGATCTAGATGAGTCGAGTGCCCAAATAGATTTAAATTAGTGTTTCATGTGACTTCTCCTTCCTTCCCTCAATATAGATGTGGTCATAGTTAAAAACAAACAAACAACAAAAAAAAAAACTCACTACCGTGGAGTCAGTTCTGAATCATAGCAACTCCTCCTTGGGTTTCTGAGGCAGTATCTCTACTGAAGTAGATTGTCCAGTCTTCCTTCTGAAGAGTGGCTTACTCACTGCCATCGAGTTGATTCAACTCACAGTGACCCCCTCCTTGGCTTTCTGGGGTGGTATCTCTATGGAAGTAGATTGCCCAACCTTCCTTCCAAGGAGTGGCTGGTGGGTTTGAACTGCCAGACTTCTGGTTAGAAGTCAAATGCCTTAGGCACTACTCCACCAGAGCTCCTGGTCATCATTTAGTCTTCCAGGAATTGACAGAATATTCACCGAGCTGTTTCAACAAACGGGTACAGCACTGGAGGCACTTACTTGTTTATGCCAAGAAGTTTGGAAGATAGCTTCCTGGTCAACAGACTGGAAGAGACCCATATTTGTGCCCATTCCAAAAAACGGCCAAAAGAATGTGGAACTTATCAAACAATATCATTAATATCACATGCAAGTAAAATTTTGCTGAAGATAATTCATAAATGGTAGCAGTAGTATACTGACAGGGAACTTCCAGAAATACGAACTGCATTCGGAAGAGGACATGGAACAAGGGATATCATTGCTGATGTCAGATGGATCTTGGCTGAAAGGAAAAAGTACCAGAAAGATGTTTATCTGTGTTGTATTGATTATGCAATTTGTTATGGATCATAACAAATTATGAATAACAAAGAACGAGAATTCCAGAACACTTAGTTGTACTTCTGAGGAACCTGTACATAGACCAAGAGGCTGTAGTTCAAACAGAACAAGGGAATACTGCCTGGTTTAAAATCAGTAAAGCTGTGTGTCAGGGTTGCATCCTTTCACCATACTTATTCAATCTGTATGTTGAGCAAATAATCTGAGAAGCTGGACTGTATGAAGAAGAACGGCATCAGGATTGGAGGAAGACTCATCAACAACCTGCAATATGCAGATGATACAACCTTGCTTGCTGAAAATGATGAGAACTTGAAGCACTTACTGATGAAGATGAATGACTAAAGTCTTCAGTAGGGATTACACCTAAACATAAAGAAAACAAAAATCCTCACTACTAGACCACTAAGCAACATCATGATAAATAGAAAAAAGATTGAAGTTGTCAGAGATTTGATTTCCTTGGATCCACAATCAACACCCATGGAAGTAGCAGTCAAGAAATCAGACATTGTATTGCACTGGGCAAACGTACTACAAAAGAGCTCTAAAGTGTTAAGGAGCAAAGATGTCTCTTTGAAGACTAAGGTGCACCTAACCCAAGCCATGGTATTTTCAGTCTCCTTCTTTGAATGTGAAAGCTGGACAATGAATAAGGAAGACCAAAGAGGAGTTGATGCCTTTGAATTGTGGTGTTGGTGAAGAATACTGAAAGTATCATGGACTGCCAGAAGTACAAATAAATCTGTCCTGGAAGAAGTGCAGCCAGAATGCTCCTTGGAAGCAAGAATGGCCAGACTTCTCACCTACTTTGGTCATGTTGTCAGAAGGGACCATTCCCTGGAGAAGGATATCATGCTTGGTAAAGGAGAGGGTCAGCAAAGAAGGGGAAGACCCTCCATGAGATGGATTGGCACAGTGGCGGCAATAAAGCACGCAAGCATAGCAAGGATTGTGAGGATGGTGCAGGACCAGGCAGCACTTCGTTCTGTTGTATGTAAGTTCATTATGAGTTGAAGCTGACCTGACAGCACCTAACAATAGTTTATTCTACTGAATTTTTGGAGAAATTTGGGAATAACATAACAATAAGACATTCTGGATATGATTGGTGGTAGCTTACATTAAAACACATGGTTACAGTACTAAACTTTCAGAAGTGTTACCTTACCCATTGCTAATGATAAAACAGTGCATTAGTTTCCTGTGGCTGCCATAACAAATTACCACCAACTTGGCTTGAAATAATAGACATTTATCCTCTCACAATTCTGCAGGATAAAAGTCTAAGATCAAGGTGTTAGCAAGGCCCTCTGATACCCACGGTGTCATTGTCCCTCTGAAGACTCTAGAGGGGAATACGGCCTTGCTTCTTTCAGTTCCTGGTTGTTCCAGACATTACCTGGCATGTGGCTGCATAACTCCAATCTCTCCCTTGGTCTTCCCATGATCTTCTCTTATGTGCCTGTGCCTTCTCTTCTTTCTCTTATAAGGATACTTGCCATTGCCTTTAGGACCCTCCTGGGTAATTCAGCTTGGAAGGAAGGTTGGGCAATCTACTTCTGTAGTGATACTACCTCAGAAACCCAAGGAGGGGTTGTTATGAGTTGGATCTGACTCAACAACAGTGAGTGAGTGGGTAATTCAGGGAGCTCTGGTGGCATAGTGCCTAAGGCATTTGACTGCTAACCAGAAGGCTGGCGGTTCAAATCTACCAGCTACTCCTCAGAAGGAAGACTGGGCAATTTACTTCTGTAGTGATACCGCCTCAGAAACCCAAGGAGGGGTTGCTATGAGTTGGATCCGACTGGGTGATTCAGAATGATTTCATCTGGAGATCCTTAACTTAATTACATCTGCAAAGACTTTTTCCAGATAAGGTTAAATTAAAAGGATCTGGGGGATTAAGAACTTGTTATACCTTTTGGGAACCTCATTGAACCCACTACACTGCTGATCCTCAAGTTTTAGGAATTTCAAATTTGAAAGACAATGCAGGATATAAGACTCTAGGAACAACTGTCTAAGGAACCACCTAGCTGTCTGATAATGGTCCCTCTCACATAGGGAGTCCCCAGACCCCCTCAGAGGAGTGATAGACTCTGACTTACATTTTAATTGGATCATTCTGACTGTGACAATTTTTGCCATCATCATCACCACAAATACTATTATAGTTAAACAATAATATAACACTTACTGTGTGCCAGGTACCATTTTAAGTAGTTTACATACATTAACTGATTGAATTCTTACAGTAATCATATGAGGTAAATTCCACTTTTATATCTTTTACAGATGAGACTATAGCACTGGGCTTAATACTATAATTTTCTTTTTCTACTGCTCTGTCTTCTACACTAAACTATTAAGTCTTGTCTTTCACCACTGCCTGGCACATAGAAGGTGCTCAGACAATGCTAATGGAATGACCACTGAATGAAAGTTTTCCTTTCTCTGCAGCTCAAGAGTCCAGATCTGTTCATGTAGGAGATACTAATGTGAAGGGAATGATGGGCTCTGGTAAGTGGCTCTTAAGTGAGTTTTCCTTGCTTTCAGCAATTCTACCCATTCTCTTTTTCAACCTTCCCTGCTACTACTCCCTCAGTCTCAAACAGGCATGATAGAACTTAGGCAAAGTAAAGACTTATGATTACTAAGATTCTAAGATGTGTACTGTGGTAGGTCAGCTACTCAGTCAAATCCAAAGAGAAAGAAGGGTTGGCGAAGTTTCAGACAAAACCAGTACTCTTGGTTCCTTCTGACTCATTTCAGTTATCAGTGAGTTAACATTTACTTCAAAGTCACAGGTGTGTATAGTATGACATAAGTTTTCCACGGGCTACACATTTTAAAGTTTATTTAATTTAAAAGTTATTTACTTAGTAGACAATTCATCTGAATTTATAAATTGTTTCACCTTCCTTCCCTTCCTTTCTCTTTCCTTTCTGCATATTATCATCATCAGGGCCAAGGAGGACAAATTGCAAAAGAAGCATTTTTTTTGACACCCTTTCTCCTCATCTTTCTGTACTTTCTTCCCACTTGTGCTCCAAATCCCTGGTATGCTCCCCTGAAAGGAAGCAGATATGAGAAATTAGTACATATTACTATAAATTAGTTATATTATTTGTAAGTTTACTTAAATTTTTTTTTTTTTTTTTACTTATTGGTGCATAGTAGTAAAGGATATATGTTGTTGTTAGCTGCCGTCAAGTCAAGTGGGCCCTGACTGATGGTGACCCAAGCACAATGGGACTGGACTATTGTGAGCCATAGAGTTTTTCATTGGCTAATTTTCAGAAGTAGATTGTCAGGCCTTTCTTTCCAGTCCCCGTTCATCTGGAAGCTCTGCTGAAACCTGGACAGCAAAGCCTCTACTGACAGGGGCTAGTGGTCGCACATGAGGTGCACTGGCTGGAAATCAAGCACGGGTTTCTTGCACAGAAGGAGAAAATTCTACAGCTGAACCACCACTGCCCTCACAAAAGCATATGTTGTTGTGTTGTTATTAGGTGCACTCAAGTCAGTTTCAAATAATAGGGACCTGAAGCATGACAGAACTGTGCCATCCTCAGTCCTTATTGTTCTTGAGCCCATTGTTGCAGCCACTGTGTCAGTCCATCTCTGCTTTGCCAATCCTCTACTTTACCAAGCATGATATCCTTCTCCAGAGACTGGTCCCTCCTGATATCATGACCTAAGTATGAGAGATGAAATCTTGCCGTTTTCACGTCCAAGGAGCATTCCAGCTGTACTTCATGCGAGACAGATTTGTTCATTCTTCTAGCTGCCGATGGGGCATTCAATATTCTTCACCAATACCACAATGCAAATATGTCAATACTTCTGTGGTCTTCCTTATTCGTTGTCCAGCTCTCACATGCATATGAGGCTACTGAAAATTTCATAGCTTGGGTCAGGTGCGCAGTAACCTTCATAGTGACATCTTTGCTCTTTAACACTTTAAAGAGATCTTTTACAGCGGTTTCGCCCAATGCAGTATGTCATTTTTTTTCCTTGACTGCTGCTTCCATGGCTTTTGATTGTGGATCCAACTAAAATGAAATCTTGACAACTTCAATCTTATCTTCATTTATCATAAGGTTGCTTATTGATAGTAGTTGTAAGTTTCTTTTCTTTTTTTTTTTTAAAGCTTAAGTGTAATCCTTACTGAAGTCTGTAGTCTTTGATCTTCATCAGTAAGTGCTTCAAGTCCTCTTCACTTTCAGCAAGCAAGGTTGTGTCATCTGCATATTGCAGGTTATTAATGAGTTTGCCTCCAATCCTGAAGCCGTGTTTTTCTTCAGATAGTCCAGCTTCTTGGATAATTTGCTCAGTATACGGAATGCATAAGTATGGTGAAAGGATACAGCCCTAATACACACCCTGCCTGATTTTGAACTCTGCAGTATCCCACATAAGAGCAGATGGACACCAGATACATATTCCACTACCCTTGCAGCTATGGAAACTGTTAATATTTAATTGGTATATTTGGGAAGGGAGCTCTGGTGATGTAGTGCCTAAAGCACTTGACTGCTAACCAGAAGGCTGGTGGTTCAAACTCACCAGCAGCTCCTTGGAAGGAAGGTTGGGCAATCTACTTCAGTAGTGATACTGCCTCGGAAACCCAAGGAGGGGTTGCTATGAGTCGGGTCTGACTCGACAGCACATAACAAAAAGAACATATTTGGGAAAGTCTGCTATTAATCCTCAATGGATAGTTGTGCCCAACCACAGGCATAATAGTTAAGATTTGGTAATATTTTTTTCTTTCCTCCAAAAATCAGAACTTGATAGAAGCTGTTATTTTTCAGGAATGAACCCTACAGCTCCAGAAGCAGAAGAAAACCTCAAGTCTTGCCTTTCAGCTGATATCCAGTCCAAGGGCCATCTCTCATCTGGTGTGTGGAGGCAGCCTAAGGATAGTAAAGAATGGGCCGAGGAATATGTTACGAAAGACCACCCAGATAAACTAAAGGAAACTGGCCAGGGCAGACACAGCTCCTTGGAAAATGTTTTATGTGAAACATCTTTAGCTGGTAAGTCCCAAGGGGGAATGTATTTTAAAGGATAATATGCACCAGGACTCTAGAAGCCTGGCAATTTACAGATTCAGTGGACATGGGAGACCACCTAGCCTCTGATTTCCTTTTCAGATTAAAAAAAAAAAAAAGTAACTATAGCCTATAGAGATGAAGAATCACGTGAAGTCATCTGGCTGGTTAGGACTATCAGCTTGATTCTGAGTATTCATGGCAGTTAGTGATGGAATGCTTTTGAGGTTTGGGGGGGAGGCGTAAAAGTGGATTAGAAGCATCAGAATTTTATGAGCCTATTAGTCAGTAATGCAGAATCTTCAATATTTGAATCTTTTATCAGTCATCTACCACTGATATCCAAGGATCATGACGATGGCAAAGGACTGGGCAACATTTCATTCTGTTGTACATGGGGTTGCTATGAGTCAGAGTCAATGACAACTAACCACCACAATGTCAAACACATCAACAGGGTCCCTACTTCTTTTCTTTCCTTTCTTCTTTTTCTTCATATCATAAACCACTACTGAAATTTACTAGGTCAGCCAACATGGCATTTCCCTTCAACTATTTTTTGGGAGGTAATTTTTTTAAATTAATATTTTTACTATCAAATTATGCAAATTAAATAGCACCAAATGATTTATTATGAAGAACAGTAGCAACCCCTCAAAACTTTTTGATAGTTTCTTCTGGTACTTGTTTCCATGTTTTCTGTTTTTAATGTTTATGCTGCTATTTTGTTAACAGTACTTTAGTGAGGGTTAATTTACATAGAATAAAATGCACAAAGCTTAAATTTAAGCTAATTCTCTTGTGACCACTACTCAGATCAAGATTTGCAAGATTTTTTTTTATCCCAGAAACTTCTCTCATGCAACTTTCCACTCAATATCCACCCAAAGAATCACTATTCTGACTTTTATCACCATCAATTAGTTTTGTCAGTTCTTGAACTTTCTAGAAATGGAGTAATACAGTGTATACTCTTTTAGGTCCGGCTTCTTTCTCTCAACTTAATGTTTTAATTGTTGTTGTTGTTAGGTGCCATTGAGTTGGCTCTGACTCATAGCAACCCTGTGTACAACAGAAGAAAACACTGCCCGGTCCTGCACCAGCCTCACAATCCTTGCTATACCTGAGCCCATCGTTGCAGCCACTGTGTCAATCCGTCTCATTGAGGGCCTTTCCCTTTTTCCCTGACCCTCCACTTTACCAAGTGTGATATCCTTCTCCAGGGAATGGTCCCTTCTGACAGTGTGACCAAAGTAGGTGAGACAAAGTCTGGCCATTCTTGCTTCCAAGGAGCATTCCCGCCGCACTTCTTCCAGGACAGACCTGTTAGTTCAGTTCTTCTGGCAGTCCATAATACTTTCAGTATTCTTCGCCAGCACCACAACCCAAAAGCATCAACTCTTCTTCGGTCTTATTCATTGTCCAACTTTCACATGTGTATGAGACAATTGAAAATACCATGGTTTGGGTGAGGTGCACTTTAGTCTTCAAAGAGACATCTTTGCTCTTCAGCACTTTATTTTATTTTTCTTTTTTCTTTCAACTCCACTCCCCATGCCCCTCATAGTTATGCACTCCTGTGTGTCCTGCATTTCCTCTGTGTGAATGTTGCCCCACTGCTGCTCCGTGGTCAATTGCTCCAAGGGATGTATCTCCATAGAGCATGTGGGTGTGTCATCCTGGGTTGAGTGGTCTGTGTGTATGTCTAGTTTACTATTAGGCTGAGAGCCAGCCCCTGGGAGTGAATTTCATTCCAGGCCTGAAGTGTAAAGGCTCTTCAGCACTTTAAAGAGGTCTTTTGCAGCAGATAATGTTTTAATATCCTTCTATATCATTGCATTTAATTCATGTAGGAGTTCAATCCTTTTTTTTTTTTTTTTTTAATTAGTAATATCATGTTGAATGAATTTACCACAGCTTGTTTATTCATTACCCTATTGATGGACATTTAGATTATTTCCAATTTGGGGCTATAATGAATAAAACTAATAGAAAATTCTTGTACAAGTCTTTTTTTGGACACATTTCCCATTTCTCTTGGGTATATAAGACCCAAGCGGAATCACTGAGGTACAGAGTAGGAATGTGTTTGACTTTAAGAGAAAACATCAAGCAGTTTTCCAAAGAGTCTGAGTCACTTTATTCCCCCCACTGGGGATATAGAGAAGTTCCAGTTGCTTTACATCCTTCCCAACATTTAATATGATCAATCTTTTTAATTTAACCATTCTCATGGGTGTGTAGTGATATAATATTGTGGTTGTAATCCGAACTTTCCTATGACTAATAATATTGAGCACTTTTTCATATGCTTATTGGCCATTTGTATATATTCTTTAGTGAAGTACTTGTTTAAACAACATGAACAGATGCTTCACCAGATGCTTTGCCCAATTTTAAACACTGAGTTGTTTGTCTTTTTATTGCTAACTTGTAGGATTTTAAAAAATATGTTCTGGATATTTTATTTCAGTCTGTAACTTGAATTTTCACTTTCTGAATAGTCTTTTGATGAACAGGATATTTAAATTTTGGTGAAGTCCAATCTATCAATTAATTCCTTTTTTAAATTTTTTAAAAATAGATTGTGACTTTTGTATACTCTCAAGGAAATTTTTGATACCCCAAAGTTGTGAAGATATTCTTATATATTTTCTTCTAGAACCTTATCAACTATATATCTCATTATCCAACATTGTAGATTTACAACAATAGTAAAAAATCTACTAACCTACTATTTTTCACATTAATGACATACATTTGGCAGTAATGGATGCCAAGTTTTGAGGCAAGAGTAATGCTGGCTGTGTCAACTTGGTTGTGTCAACTTGGCTGGGCCATGATTCTCAATGGTTCAGCAGTTATGTAATTACGTAATTTGGCAGTTATCTAATGATATAGTCATGCTCCATTTTGTGATCTGATGTGGTCATCCTTCATTTTCACATAATGATTTTCACATGAAGACCTGGTCTTTGGAAAATAACCATGTCAATAAGTGAGAAGTGGGTGCATTTCATTGTATGTATGCACACAATTTGTTTATCCATTCATTAGTTGAATGGGGACTTAGATTGTTTCCATCTTTTTGCTATTCTGACTAATGCTACAATGAACATAAGTGTGACTATGTCAATTCGTGTCACTGCTCTTATATCTCTGGGATATATATCTAGAGTGGAAGGTCTGGATCATAAGATATTTCTATTTCTGGCTGTTTGAGGAAGCGGCATAATGTTTTACATTTTTGCAGGAATGAGATGATATCTCACTGAATTTTTTTTTTTTTTTTTTTTGCATCTCTCTAATAGCTGATGATCACACACATCTTTTCATGTATTTGTTGGCCGCCTCCATGTCCTCTTTGGTGAAGCATCTATTCATGTTGTTGGCTCATTTTTTGATTGGATTGTTTTTTTGTTGTTGAGTTGTTGAAGATTTTTTTTTGATAATTGGAATTTTTTTTTTGAGTTGTTGAAGTTTTATATATATTTTAGACATTAGACCCTTATCAGATATGTATGTCATTGCCAAAGATTTTTTCCAGTCTACAGATTCTCTTTTTCCCCTCTTGGTAAAGTCGTTTGATGAGTGTAAGTATTTAATGTTTAGAAGGTTCCAGGTGTCTAATTTGCTTCTGTCATACATGCATTTTTAGTTTTGTTTGATAGATTATTTAAGCTAAAAGTTAGATCCCCTAATTTTTTGACCCTATGTTATTGTCTAAGAATGTTACAGTTTTAGCTTTAACATTTTGGTCTTTGATCCATTTTGAATTAGATTTTGTGCATGATGTGAGGTATGGATTCTGATTCATTTTTCTGCATATGGATAACTGGTTTTTCCAGCACTATTTGTTAAGAGATTCTTTCTTCCCCATTGAATGGACTTAGTTAGACCGTTTGTTAAGTTCAGCTGCCCGTAGATGGATAGATTTACTTTTGAGTTCTCAATTCTATCCCAATGGTCTATGTATTCTTCTTTGGCGATTTCCTTGCTTTGTGTCCTTTTAATTTTGCTTTTAAAGAGTGTCAGAAAGGCTTTCATCTCCTTTGTTTTTCTGATTTCCTCTCTTTTAAAAATATCCTGTCATCATTAAATGGCTGGAATATTTTCTCATATCTCTTTGAGAATGTTAATTATGAGATTTTTAAACAGTTTTATTTGTTTTTTTGCATTGCCTCTGTTTCCACGGGCTTCCCGTTTTCTGTTAGTTGTGGGTTTTTTAAAATTAATATGTATCTATTCTTCTTTTTCTTTTATATTGAAAGCTTCCTTCAAATGTCTGAGAATCTTTGGTTATTGATTTATACATGAGAGAAGCCTTTAAAAAAATTCTCATCAGCTAAGCTTGTCAATAAGGAGCTCTGGTTGTGTAGTGCCTAAGGCATTTGACTGCTAACCAGAAGGTTGACAGTTCAAACCCACCAGCCACTCCACAGAAGGAAGACTGGGCAATCTACTTCTGTAAAGATTTACCGCCACAAAAACCCAAAAGGGTTTGCTATGAATCAGAATCGACTCAATGGCAGTGAGTTTGGTTTTTTTTTTTTTTTTTCCCAAAAGCTTGTCAGTGAATAGGTTTCAGTTGTAGGATAACCAGGTGGCAAAGTAACTATGTGATAGGTGTCAGTGTTTGTAGGTCTTTTTCCCCCTCAGGCCACAGTGTGTTTTTCAGGTGAAAGATCCTCCAATCTCCTGCCTAGAGATTGCCACTAGCATTCCAGGATCTGTAGATGAAAGGAGGTACAGAGAGTCTCACTGTTCAGTACGCAAGCTTCATTTAAGTCTGCTCGTTTTTATTCTGGCTCCTCAACTTTGTTCTCCACTATGTCTAATGCCTTCATCCCAGATCTCAGAGGCAACACTTCTCTAGTTTAATTTTTTCCATTTGCAATGAGGTGAGAGTGAGGAAGGTACTGGCATGTGTGGGGGCTAGGATCTAAAGGCTCAACTGCACTTTTTGTAGATATACAATGATGTCTGTTTTCAGCCTCTTATTTGTACTTTCTGAGCACCTGGTCCCACCAACCCTTAAGTCTTTCTGCTTCTTAGCAGATTTCCCACCCACAGATGGGAACACCAACATTTCGTGCCCTTTGGTCTGCTAAATCAATCACCATGCGTCCATTTTGCTTTCCATCTACCAAAACCTTGCTAACATCTCTTTTTATTGCTTTCATTTTGTTGCTTTTTATTACTTTCTATCATTTTATCAGGTTTGGAGGAAAAGTGGTTAACAAGAATTCCCTCCTTGGTTTTTTTTTTTTTTTTTTTTTAACACAGCTAAGAGACAGACTGTAGCTCTAGAACTGCTTGAATCGGAAAGAAAATATGTGATTAATATCTCTCTGATCTTGAAGATAAAAGCAACATTCCAGGGGTCAGATGGAAAGAGGAATTCCAAAGAGAGAAGGTATCCATGTATTCATTGTCTTTGTTTTTCAGAGTGATTGAGATTTAAGGTAAGTTGTTTATTGTTTCCACTTTGGGGATTCTTGGCTTGTAAAGAGTTCCAGAAACAGTCTTTGAAAAGAAAATGAGTAGATGTGGCAGGTAAACCCTAGTAAGTCTCAAACTTAGGTTCTCAGCAGGTAAGAAAATGAGTATAGTCTCCTGGGGCTTCAGAGTCCTTGGAATGTCTGCTAAGAACCTGACCAGTACCAGGTACTGTAAAGTTGACTCCAATACATGGCGACCCCATGTGGATCACAGTAGAACTGTGTTCCATAGGGTTTTCAATGGCTGATTTTTCAGAAATAGATCGTGAGACCAGGTGTGTCCGGGTGGACTTGAATCTCCAACCTTTTTGCTATTAGCCAAGAACATAAACCGTTTGCACCAGCTGGGACTCATAAAGGGGAAATAAATGCTACAACAAGAAAGGCATTGTTTTCTATGTTGCTTTCTACATGTACTTACAGGATCTCTGGTTTCAGGAGCTATAAGAAATGAATGTGGTGGAGGTCTGTAGCACTATGTGGCCATTAGACAGGTTGATATAACTTTAGAGTTAGACTTTTCTTATTATTTGTTCAGATGATTCCGTACCAAACTAAAACCATTTGTTGTCAAGTTAATTCCAATTCACAGCCACCCTATAGGAAAGAGTAGAACTGTCTTACAGAGTTTCCAAGGCTGCAAATCTTTACAGAAGCAGACTGCCACATCTTTCTCCTTCAGAGTGGCTTGTGGATTCAAATCAGTGACCATTAAGTTAGCAGCTGAGCTCTTAACCACTGCACTACCAGACTTTTCTTATTATTTGTTCAGGTGATCCCATAGTACTGGGTAATGCATGAGCGTGTTTGTGCATGGGTGCAAATATGCTCACACATATGTAGGGCAATGTTTCCAAAGGGTCTGCAATGTATTGTAGCAGCTAACTGTTCATTGTTTTTAGATTTTCTGACTTCTTCTTTGTTGGGAGAAAGCAGGAAAGAGGAAAGTGTGATTTGGTGAAAATAACTAATGTAATGAAGATATAATACACCTGATTAACTGAGGAAAAGACTAATCCAAATGAATGGAAATTCCGGATTATGGACTATTAGTGGACAAATGTAGCATTACTACTTTAAATATTCCATCAAGTAATATACACTGATGGTTCATAAGTTGTGAATCTGTCTAGGGAAACCCCTCATTACATTCCCCTGCTCCTTACCATGCCCAAAATTTTACTTGGGTTTGTAGTTACCAGCAAGACACCAGTCACCAAAACACACTGCTCCTCATATCCAAATGACTGAGGTGAGAAAATATTCCCTGACAAACCCACAAGTGTCTTGATTATTTTCAAGAATTATTTTACTACAAAACTGAGGTAAACAAAATATGAAACAACAAAGAACAGAAGGGGTATTGTGGTACCTCTAGAGCTATGTGCAAGAGAGGTTCTAGACTGGGCCTCTCAGTGGCCACCCAGGTTCATACTTGTTCTTCCTTCCCCACTCAGCCACTTGACTTCCCCGTGAATCCCAATCCAGCTTGTCCTACCCTCCCAGCTACCTCTTTCACCTCTCTGGCAAGTCTCTATGGGTCTAGCTATCTTGCTGTTGCCAAAATGCTCCTTAGCTTACAGTACCAAATTTAAAGATATAGCTTTGCTTCTATGTCAAAGATTCTAGCCAGCAGCATCTCTTCCTACTCTCTGGAAATTTGGGCAGGAGGAAGAGGATGGAAAACAGAAAGAGAATTATTTACTCTGGAACACAGGAACTAAACCCCAGGCTAGGTACTTCATTTATACTTTCATTAAATTTTCACAAACTCACTGCCATTGAGTTGATTCTGACTCAGAGTGACCCCCTTTGGTTTTTAAGGCTGTAAATCTTTACAGGAACAGACTGGCCCATCTTTCTTCTATGGAGCAACTGGCAGGTTTCGAACCACCAACCTTTTGGTTAGCAGGCAAATGCCTTAACCACTACACCACAAGAGCTCCTTAACTTTTCACAAGAGTGCTGCAAATCTTACCTTATAGATGCAGAAATAAGGCCCAGAAAGATCTAAAGTAACATAGTCAGTTAGTGCCAGAATTCAAACCCAGGCTTGTCTGAGCCTGTACTTGTGCTCTTTTCACGTCACACCGCTTCTCAAAGATACCACCTTGACTAACAGCAATATATCAAGTCTTTCAGATAGCCAGAAGCAGACTTTCTGTCATTTTCTATTTTCAAAATTGAGACTTCCCTTTTGAATAGCCCGTAAGTTCTTACTTTGAACATCAGCTGAATTGTCAAGTACGAATGCTAGATAAGTTCTTAGCTCACTATATATCTAAGCCCCCTACTTTTAACTTGTTGTAAGAATATAGATAACACAATATTTGCAATCCAACATTTTTCATGTGTACAATTCTGTGACACCAATCACATCAATCATGTTGTGCAACCATCACCAATATCCATTGCCAAGTTTTCCATCATCATATACAGAAACTCAGTGCTTCCCAAGCAATGATTATGCCTTCCCTGCTCCCTCCCACCCTGGTAACCACGACAAAAACCTCTCATGTCTATACATTTCCCTATTATAGGTATTCCATATTAATGAGATCATACAATATTTGCCCTTTTGTGATTGACTTCCTTCACTCAGCATATTATTTTCAAGGTCTATCCATGTTGTAGGAGCTCTGGTGGCATAGTGCCTAAGTCATTTTACTGCTAACCAGACGGCTGGCAGTTCAAACCCACCAGCTACTCCTCGGAAGGAAGATGGGGCAATCTACTTCCATAGTGATACTGCCTCAGAAACCCAAGGGAGGGGTCACTATGAGTTGAAATCAACTTGATGGTAGTGAATTTTTTTTTTTTTTAATCCAGTTGTATCATGTATCAGGGCTTCATTTCTCTTTATGGCTGAGTAACATTCCATTGCATGTATATATTGCATTTTGTTTACTATTCATCTATTGATCGACATTTGGGTTGTTTCTACATTTTGATCATTGTGAATAGTGCTGGAGTGAACATTGGTACCCATGTCTGTGTGTGTCATTGCTTTCAAGTTTCTTGGGTATATACCTAAGAGTGGAATTGCTGGGTCATAAGGTAACTGTAAGGAGCCCTGGTAGCTCAGTGGTTAAGTGGTCTGCTGTTAACCAAAAAGTTGGTGGTTTGAACCCAGCAGCCAGTCTGTGGGAGAAAGATGTGCAGTCCACTTCTGTAAAGATTCCAGCCTTGGAAACCCTATAAGGTAGTTAGCTGTTCTATAGGGTTGCTATAAATTGGAATTGACTTGACAGCACACAACAACAACAAAGTATCTGTGTGTTTAACTTTGTGAGGAATTGCCAGACTGTTTCCCACAGAGGCTGTACCATTTTGCATTCCCACCAGCAACAGATGAGAGTTCTGATTGCTCCACATCCTCGCCCACAAGTCAAGCCCTTTTCAGCTTGCTGTCACTTCCACTTCTCCAGGATGTTCTCTCATGAGAACTGGGGAAAGAGTGAACCTTTCCTCAAATCCTATGAGATCAAAATCTTTAAACTGTCATAGAATCCTCAATGAAAAGAAGATAATAGTTACTTCATCATATCCATGATAAACTATTCATACTAGTTATTTGGTAAACTAGCCCCCTTTTTGATCATGAGCATGTAGAGACAATCTGAGTACTATTTTATTTTATTACATACATAACAAACCATATGCCATCGCAACAATGTGTACATGCACATGTATATTTTCAAGTTCTGTCCATGTTGTAGGAGATCTGGTGGCATAGTGCCTAAATCATTTTACTGCTAACCAGACGGTAAATTGATTACATTTTTCAAGTTGTGTCACCATTCTTGTTTTCCTCTGCCAAATTATTACACCCCCATTAACATAAACTCCATGCCTCCTGAACATCATCTCCCCCTTTTCCCCTCCCTCCTACTTCTGGTAACCACTAATAATCTTTGCTTTCTATATATTTGCTTATTTCATATAAGTGAGATCATACAATATTTGTTTTTGTGACTGATTTATTTTGCTCAACATAATGTTTCAAGGTTTATCCACATTGTGATATGCATCAAGATTTCCTTTCTCTTTGTGACTGAGTAACATTCCCTTGTATGTATATACCATGTTTTGTTTATTCATTCATCTGTAAATGACATTTGGGTTGTTTCCACCTTTTGGCTATTGTGATAACACATATTACTCTTGATTATTACTAAATATGAAGTTCCTGGTTCTGAGCTTTACAATATTGCCATTTTTTCTACCCTAAGGTTAGATTTTCATTACCCTCCTGTGCTCACTGTTTCTTTTTTCCTAAGCTTTTCTAAAATCTGTGTATACTTTAAATAGACCAGTGGAATGAAATGTGGAGCAAAATGAGATTATTCCTTTCCTCTGTTGGCATCTTTTCCCATACAAAGATGAAAATAATTTTATTAGCATATATTATTTTCCCATCACAAGTCACAAGGCTTCAGCCCTTTTCTCCCTGTTAGAAAGTAATCTAGGTATGAAAATAATACCCACTACACAAACAACTTGATACTCAAACCTGAGGTTGTCACATCTTGTCAAACCTATAAAATAACCCTTCAGGTTTTTCCCTAGAAGAAAGCAGAGTGCTCCAGAGCCTCCACAGCCTGCTTCAAGCCAGCCCCTCCCCTGACTGAAAGGCCTGGAAGCTGCAGTGGCACAGGCTGCCAGTTGAAGCCTGAGTGGAAATTGTGGGCTATTGTTCACATGGAGAATGAGGTTGGAGCTCTTCTTGGCTTGTTTCGGGTCTGGTTCACCCAGACAAAGCCCTCAACCTCAGGATCAAACAGTCCTGTCTGAATGCTCGCTGAGGCAGGCCGATGATCAGCTGGACAGGATTGCCAAACAAAACAGCCTTATAAACTAAACCGCCAGCCTCACGTCCCCCAAGAACTCAACAACCTGTATGCCACAGATCACCACCAGGAGGCGCACAGGCTAGATTATCGATGCCCCAGCACATCCTGCTGCTGAGGGGAGGGAGTAATTTTGGCCTAATGCGCGACTGGCAAGAGCTAAATTATTAATTTGAACCGATAACTAGATTTTCCTCGATTTTTTTTAGTTTATTTTTCTTATTGTTTAAGTAGTGTACTGTGGGAGCTAAAATAACTTTAAAAGCTTTAGAAGTTTATTGTTGTTATGTGCGGTGGAGTCGCACCCAACTCATAATGACCTCTCCTTGGGTTTCCGAGACGGTATCACTATGGAAGTAGATTGCCCAACCTTCCTTCCGAGGAGTGGCTGGTGGATTTGAACCGCCAGCCTTCTGGTTAGCAGTCAAGTGCCTTAGGCACTACGCTACCAGAGCTCCTAGAAGTTTATTAGAAAGAATAAATTGCTCACGTTGCCACACTTTCACCCCTAAAAAGGAAGAAATAGAAAAGAAGCTGAGCACTTAATGCTGTTGTCTTCTTTGGACTCTGCTCTGGGAACCAGATCTGGCTCTTGGCAAAACAATGAAATAAGTTTGCTCACTCTCTCCCTCTGTTCTCCATTCACATTCCTCCCTGATTTTGAATCATATCCTTGCTAAGTTAAAAACAAAAATTAAAGACTGTTTTCAATAGTTGATATAGATTCATTATAGGTCATTGTTCTTCACGTGACAGACATTTGTATAGGGGCCATTGGTAAAAGGGTCTTTTCATAGTTGAGAATATGTGCTGTGAGCTCTACAATACAAACTTCTTTTTTTAAAAGACGTAATTGCAGCCTGTGAACAGGGTATTTTGGTTGACTGAGGAAAAGGGATCTGCTACATATATTCTTGTAGGGTCTGTTGTTCTCTCCACCTGGTTTGTGTGATTCTATTTCTATTCTGTTTCAAGCCTCTTCCCTGGCTCTTTACGGTATCTTGTCCAGCAGCACCTGGATTTGCTTCATGCACTGCAGGAAAGGGTCCTGAAGTGGCCACGCCAAGGCGTCCTTGGAGATTTATTCCTTAAATTGACAAATGATGAGGTAAGGTTTTTTGTTGTTATTGTTTTCTTTTTAATCCTCCATAAACTTGAATTATGTGGATCTCTCACTTTTCTGCTTCTGATTCTCTCAGAGAATCTACAATCAGTGAATCTCAGAGCTGGAGGAACTACAGAGATCTATCTAGTTGAACTTCCTCATTTTATAGATAATGGTAAGGTCCAGAGAGTTAAAGACTGCTGAAATCATCCAGCTAGCTAGGTAGTTGTAGAGCTGCCACTAGAGCCCAGGTCTTCTAACTTCCAGTTCATCATTTTCCACTGTACTGTATTCTGCTGTCCCCCAAGTCCCTGGGTGCAGAAGTTAAGGTGCTTATCTGATAACAGAAAAATTGAAGGTTCCAGTCCAACCAGAGGTTCCTTGGAAGAAAGACCCGATGATCTACTTCTGGAAAATCAGCAATTGAAAACCCTGTAAAGCACAGTTCTACTCTGACATACATGGGGTCTCCATGAGTCAGAAACAACTCCATGGCAAGTAGAAGGAGATACTGCCCCCCACTGAATACACGTGTGTATATTTAATGTGTGTATGTACATGGATATATATATATATATATATATATAAGGGTTTGTATATATGTGTGTATTTTCACACAATTTTCATTCCTTAGAGATCTTTAAAAATGTGATGGACAGCTATTAAATGCTTTTTATTTTCACTTGCTTGGAGAAAGAATGCTAAGTTTTGAAATCTCTGTAATATTCTACACAAGGAGATATGATCTAGGCCAAAAGTTCCAAACTCAAATGCCTACAGAGCCAGTGACATAGATTGATGAGGTGAGCTGAATGGATTATAGTATATACAATATAGGCTGGAGGCAAATGTGCTGAGTGGAGCACATATACTTTTCTACAGGGAGCTGCTACTCAGCTTTATCCAATTGTTATGCGGGAAAGGAGGACTAGAGTTGCCAGATCTCCTGATATTTGAAGAAAAGCTGAAAATGTAGAGTTTTACATGAAATTTTTTTATTTTTAAAATATTATGTAGGGTAATTAAAAATTGGTGTGTAAGGCAGATTTTGTCTGCAATCAACCTCTGTATATCAATGATTCTCAACTATGGGTAACAATACAAAGTTTATGAATGATTTACTTGTATAGATTAGAGTGAATTTAACATAATCTTTCTGATACAACTTTTACTCATTTGTACTCAGTACAATTTCTTGAGCTGAGAATTTTTGTGCCTATGGGAATGTGTCTGGCAGCTGAGGATTTTTTTCTTGAGGGGATACTGCATAGGTGAATATGCCTTATGTTGGTGGAGAAAGTTGAGAGCTACTACTGGTCTAGACAATATGAGGTGGGTTGGGCAAAGTTCCTCATTTGGATGTAGATGATTGAAATGAAAAGGAATCACAAAAACACTGTTGTTTTTTTTTTAAATCATTTAACAAGTTAATAATACCTTTTTAATTTACATGAATTCCCCCCTCCTTTATCGTTTCTCTTTCTCTCATTAAAGCAGAGCTATTGAGTTTTGGTTCCCAACTCCCTAGGGATTTTTACCTTAAAACCAAAAAAAAGATTTTTTTTAAAAAAGATGAATAAAAAACTCCAAAAGTTATTAACAAACACATTAAAAGAAAGGTTAAGATAATCTCTGAAAAGTACTCCTTTTTGATCTACACGGCTCTATGAAAATGGGGAGCTCTGGTAGCATAGTGGCTAAGACACTTGCCTGCTAACCAGACGGTTGGCGGTTCAAACCCACCAGACACTCCTCGGAAGGAAGGTTGGGCAATCCTACTTCCGTAGTGATACTGCCTCGGAAACCCAAGGAGGGGTCGCTATGAGTCGGGGCCGACTCGACAGCACATAACAACAACAACAATGAAAATAGGAGTTGTTATTTTATCTGTTTCCAGGTTCTTACAATGCATTTTTATATTTGTTTTCAAGAATAATTTCTTGGATTACTATGTTGCTTACCTGAGGGACCTGCCTGAATGCATCTCATTGGTTCATGTTGTTGTTCTGAAGGAGGTGAGTTAACTGTATGTAAGCGCTGCCTTTTGTTTACTGATATATTCATGATGCTACCCATCCACTCAGTAAGTACAGCACATGTACTTTAGCTGTTTTCCAAGCTGGGGGATGGTTTGAATGATCCAGCAACACCTCTATCTGGAGTTAAAAGAGCCCACTACAGGATCAGTGCCATTGCTTTGGTCTTTGCCCAGCCTTCCTGCCCCTCAGTCCCATTCCATTGGAACTATACACAAATTAATCAGGTGTCCTAAGGAGAGATCTTTGGGAGCTCTGGTAGCGTAATGCCTAAGGCACTTGACTGCCTACCAGAAGGCTGGCAGTTCAAACCCACCAGACACTCCTTGAAAGGAAGGTTGGGCAATCTACTTCTGTAGTGATACTGACTTGGAAACCCAAGGAGGGGTCGCTATGAGCTGGGTCCGACTCAACGGCACACAACAACAAGCAGAGATCTTCAGGCTGCAGCTGGTGTGCTGTATGTGATGGTTTACCCCCACCCCCATGAATTTGAATGCTAAAGTCAGGTCATCCTGTGTCTGTCAGTTGATAAGATCATAATGTAGCTCTAGTCATGTTGCTTTAAGTCGTGTTACTGCAGTTGTGCTTATAAACACACATAAATATATAACAATTCTAGTTATTTTAGATTGATAGAAAAAATATCAGAAGCCCTAAAGCTGAGAGTTAATAAGTTTCACAAGAGGTGAGCAGCTTTATCTTATTAACTTTCACTTTAACCTGCTCATCGTTCCCAACCCATTACATGCCTACCACATGTTGTTGTTGTTACTGGCTGTCCTTGAGTCCCTTCTGATTCATGGTAAACCCGTGTGTGCAGAGGAGAGCAGCTTCATAGGGTTTCCAAGGCTGTGGTCTTTTGGAAGCAGATCACCAGGCCTGTCTTTTGAAGCACCAGTGGATGGGTTTGAAATGCCAACCTTTCAGCTAGGAGTCAAGCATTTACCATTTACAATACCCAGGGACCCCCTGCCACATGTTAGCACTCAGCCAATAGGAAAGGAAGAGAAGAGAAGGGAAGGGACATGGAGTAAACCCAACATGTTTTCTGCTGCCAGGCCAACTGATCAATTTCCACTCCTACACCCTTCCCCATTCTCATGAGGACCCAAGGACTCTTAAAGTCTATTAGTAAGTCCATTGTAATGATTACTTGCTGGAGAACCTCAATGAATTCTTTCATCTCAATCATGATTTATTGAGTGCCCTCTTCTGTCTAGCTAAGTTGCAGCACATGGCATTTAGAATGTTGGGTGGATTCAAAAGAGGTATGCAATGGGTCTGACTGGGAAAAGTCTCTTGGGCATGTCCCTGAACATATGGCCTCTCTGATGAGCAATCAGTGCTGCAGAGAACCTATAGGAAGAAAATGCTCGATTAGGAAAGCCTCCTACTCTGGTAGGACAGACTCTGGGGTTCTGCTGCCACATCTGTTGGAACACTGACTCTACCTTTCTTTCACTCAGGGTGATGAAGAGATTAAATCTGACATCTACACCCTCTTTTTTCACATAGTCCAACGCATCCCAGAATACCTGATACATCTGCAGGTAAGCATGGCTGGGCCAGCCACCAAACTGATTTTCATGCTAAACAATTGATTTTGGCTTTTAGCTAAGGAATATTGTAAAAGGTTAAAGAATCACTAATATTTCCTAGAAATGGTTAAATGGTTTAAATCATTATGAGTACCCAATCCCCACCCTGTGGCATGAGCTAAAAATCACTATTTCTGAAAAAATGTATTTTAGCTCTTGATGCCTGCCTTTAAAGTTCTTTCTTCATTAACCAGAAATCTCCACCTCTGCTGATCCAGGATCTTTCTATAGCAGTTCCCGTTAGACTTTGAGCATCTTACCAGCCCCTTCTACCTTGATTCTGTAGGCACCTAAATGCCTCCTTGGCATCTAGGACATATCTTGTTAACCTGCCCACTTAACTGCTATCTTGACTGCTTTCTTTTGGCTTTTCTTAGGTCCAAGGGTCTACCAATCATTGCTTATGTCTTATGCCACAGAAGAGGCATGAAAAATCTCATTAGCTGACTTCTGCATATAATTTCCCCACAGGGTTTGTAGCATCCTGGAGGAAGTACAATTGAGAGAGAGGTTCACCAATCCCCTTACCCACCTCTCCTCCTCTCACCAGCAATGTGTTCTGGTTTAATTACTGACTAATGTTCCGAAATCATTCAGTGAAAGCATCTTAGAAATGCTTGGGCCAATCTCAGGTAGAAATAGACAACTATCAATATTAAAAAAAATTTAATTATAAATAGCTTCATATTTCAACTATTATTTTTCATAATATTTATTTTATTTAGTTCTTTCAACAATCCCATGAAGCAGGTGCCATAACTGCCATTTTTAAGATGAGGAAATAGAGGGTCAGAGAGGTTAAGTAACTTTCCCAAGTTAACACACATAGTAGGTGACAAAACCAGGACAAAACCCCAGGTCTCACAAGCATGAGGGTTCTGGTTCTACAGTCTGCTTGAGTTCAAATCCTGATTCCACTCCTCATTAAATCATAACCTCATTATTTAACTTTTCTGAGCCTTGATTCCCTTATTTGTTAAGTGCAGGTACCTATCATACTAGGTATAATTATAAAAATTAAATAAGATAATATATGTAAAGGGCTTAGACCAAAAAAAAAAAAAAAAAACCTCATTGACATCAAGTCAATTCTGACTCATAGCAATCTCCATTGGGTTTCTGAGGTGGTAAATCTTTCTGGAAGTAGATTACCCCACCTTCCTTCCATGGAGATGCTGGCAGGTTTGAATCACCAGCCTTCTGGTTAGCAGTCAAATGCCTTAGGCACTATGCCACCAGAGCTCAATAGGAAACACTCTATAATGTTAATTTTCCCAAAGCCAAGTACAGTGCTTGCTCTGCTACAGCACAGTAGGCAATGTAATAGAAGGGGCCACCAAGCCAGACCTGATTAAAACATCTGCCTCAAAGCCTGTTATTCTTACCACTGGTCTGACTCCTTTGGGTTAAGGCACTGTTTATAAACAGCAATTATTAGAATACCTCCATTACCTTAGAGGTCTAATTAGTAGATCCTTCTAAGATTTTTAGATGGAAATATCTAATGCTCACATTCAACTCAAACACAGATGTAAAAATGGCATGGGGCAACTGACTTCCACTAACTTCATAAGGGAGAGAGAGACTCACCATCAGTATCAGCCCAAGGCTGATTCCCATGAGATGGAGGTCAGACATACCTCTTCTCTCCAAACTTTTACTAATTCTGACACAGCACTCTTTGCTCCTCTGCTGGGTTCAATAATTTGTTACAGTGGCCACAAAAACTCACAGATAATACTCACTATTAAGGGGCTTATGGGAAAATAACAGTTTATAATTCAGTATCAGAAATGACTCAGGATACATTACTATGATCAGGACAGCCTCTTCTAAATTGTGCCCACAGGCAGGACTCTCTCAGGCTTTCAGCTTCTTGGCCTGGCCTCTACCCTGCTTGGGCAAGTGTTACAAAGCTCTTTAGCTCTGCCAGTAAGTGCCTGGAAGCACCCCACTCTAACAGTAAGCCTTGACCTAAAGGCACTCAGCTCTCTCACTCCTTGTGTTAGTGAGCCTAGCTCTGTCAAGTACCTGGAGGCACGTTGCTCCACCAGCAAGCCTCCTGCCCGAAGGTGCTGAGCTCCATCCATGGGCTTGGAAGCCCTCCACACTGTCTCCTGTTGATCTCCTAGTTCTGGTGCCTCTACCTCCAAGCTTTCTCTGCCACTGCTCCTCACCATTTCTTCTTTTTTTTTTTTTT